ATACCAACCACTCTAACTCTATAACTCCCCCTGCTTTTAACATTCGGGTCATGATTCCATTATTTTCCAGCTGTTTTTACACCCTGTTCATTCTATGAAAATCCCTCACTCCCCTCCTGCTCTTCTTCACTCCTAAAAATGTTATACCTCCCGGGGCAGTGCATGAAATTACTGCCTCCCTTTCTTCATCAACATTTAAGAGCTCCTCAAAATACCATCTACCCAATACCTCCAGCTCCCCATCTACTAACTCCCCTACTCTGTTTTTACTAACAAACCCATTCGTTCCCTAGGCTTTCTTAATTTGTTTATCTCACTCCAAAATTTTTTTCTCAGTCTCAGTAAAATTTCTTGACAGTTCCTCTCCCACTCTATCATTTGCTCTCCTTTTGCACTCTCCCTCACCCTTCTTTTACTCTCTATATACTCTGCCCTTCTTATAACACTTTTTGCTTTGTAAAAATCTCTCATAAGCTACCTTTTTCTCTTTTATCACACCCTTTACTTCATAATTCCACCAATCACTCCTCTTTCCTCCTGCCCCCACCCCCCTAAAACCCACAAACTCTGCCCCACATTCTAATACTGCATTTTAAAAACTCATCCAACCCTCTTCAACTCCCCATACTTGCATAGCCCACCTTTCTGCAATAGTTGCTTATATCTCACCCTAACTTCCTCCTCTCTTAGTTTATAAACTTTCTCCTCTCTCTTCCTTACGTTGCCTTTTTCCCCTTTCATCCCATCTACCTCTTACTCTAACTGTAGCTACAACTAGGTAATGATCCAATATATTCGTTGCCCCTCTATAAACATGTACAATTCCTGAAGCCTACTCATCAACCTTTGCCCATCAATATATAACCTAACAAACTTCTTTCATTATTTGCTATATCATATCTTATATACTTATTTATCCTTTTTTTCATAAAATATGTATTATTTATCACCAAACCCTTTTTCAAAGACATAGTTAATTAAAGGCTCCCCATTATCATTTACCCCTGGCACCCCAAATTTTTACCTACTATGCCCTCTACAACATTTTTACCCACTTTAGCATTGACATCCCCAACCACAAGTACTCTCTCATTTGGTTCAAAACCCCCCAAATCACTCACTCAACATTTCCCAAAATTCTCTCTCCTCTACACTTATCTCTTCTCCAGGTGTATAAACACTTACTATAACCCACTTTTCACATCCAACCCTTATCTTACTCCACATAATTCTTGAACTTATAACATTTATATTCCTTCTTTTTCTGCCTTTACTTATCCTTCAACATTATTGCTACTCCTTCCTTAGCTTTAACTCTATTAGAAACCCCTGACTAATCCCATTTATTTCTCCCCACTGAAACTCTCCTACCCCTTTCAGCTTTGTTTCACTTAGACCAGGACATCCAACTTCTTTTCTTTTCATAACATTCACAATCATCTCTTTCTATCTTTTTGCATTACAACCGTGCACATTCAAACATCCCACTATGACAGTTTTCCCCCATTTTTCTTTTTAGTAGGCTATACGGAAAAGGGGTTCTAGCCCATTGCTCTTGGGCATTTTAGTTGACTTTTGCAACACACATGGCTTACAAAAGAAAGATTTTTATTCCACTTCCCCCATGGATATGAAAGGAAAAGTAATAAAAACAAGAACTATTAAGATAACATCAAAGAAAACTCAGATGAGGGGTGCAAACATAAACGGTACATGCATGTGTAGTGTAACTAATGTAAATAGAAGTAGCAAAACGTACCTGAAATTTTGCATGTTTGTGAAACAGAAAAAAGACACCAGCAATCCTACCATCATGTAAAACAACTACAGGCTTCCATTTTACACTCACTTGGCAATACAGTAGTACCCCCCCTGGGGGGTTGCGTCTACCAACCCTACTACCATAAGAGACATGACTTATATGAAATTTGATCCTACTCACAGTACAGAACATTCACACCTACTATTGTGCACTACATTTACAGAACCATAAACTCTACTTTTAACCTAGAAGTAAAACAATTTCTTGATAGTTGCAACAGACCCATAGACCAAAGACACCAGACAAAAATCTATGACATTCCCTGTGTCTGGCTAAACCTATACAAAAATTTGATGTTATAAAAGGGCCTAGAATCTGGAACTCCCTGCCTGAAAACTCTAGAACCACAGACTCAACCACCATTTTCAAAACTACCATTAATAAACATGTCATCTCCCTAACACAACCCCATCATCAGCTACCAAATGAAAACCATCCCAAATTTTCATTTCTGTATCATAACAAATCCAAAAAAATATAGACTTACCATTATCTGTAATTCCCCATAATCTCCACCTACACCCACCCAAGGACTGTAAACATACAATTCCTAATATAGCTATTGCCTATTAAATCTTAAGTTAGTCTTATTAAATCTTAAGTTAATCCTAAGTGTGTCTAAGATACTCCTCCAGTAGGCTTTAAAAAGAAGCGATGTATCATGCCAAGACAAATCGTATCCCATTACTAAATCTGCCATTTGTACTAATATTAACTGAGAATGTATCTAATTAAGTACCTAATAATATGTTCAAATGTACTGCTCAAATATGACCTATATCATAATAATGTAAGAATTAGTATTAGTCTGCCGGAAGTGCCTAGGCACGATAGTGGCCATCTTTGTAATTAAAATCTTATAACATGTAAACTACACAATGTAAGCTTTACAAGAAAATAAATATTTGTGTTTGTATTGTACGTATTTGTATTTGTAGTGTGAACTCCATGATGGTGAATCTCACAGTTTAGCCATGTGTCTTACATGTGTCTTACAGATGTACTGGCCTGCTAATTATATTATACTAAAATTATGTGACATATGATACGTAATATTTTAAAAAATCAGGCTCATATATTTTTTTTTTTAACAAACCGGCCGTATCCCACCGAGGCAGGGTGGCCCAAAAATAAAAACAAAAGTTTCTCTCTTCAAATTTAGTAATTTATACAGGAGAAGGGGTTACTAGCCCCTTGCTCCCGGCATTTTAGTCGCCTCTTACAACATGCATGGCTTACAGAGGAAGAATTCTGTTCCACTTTCCCATGGAGATAAGAGGAAATAAACAAGAACAAGAACTAGAAAGAAAATAGCAGAAAACCCAGAGGGGTGTGTGTATATATGTTTGTACATGTATGTGTAGTGTGACCTAAGTGTAAGTAGAAGTAGCAAGACGTACCTGAAACCTTGCATGTTCATGAGACAGAAAAATGGACACCAGCAATCCTACCATCATGTAAAACAATTACAGGATTTCGTTTTACACTCACTTGACAGGACAGTAGTACCTCCCTGGGTGGTTGCTGTCTACCAACCTACTACCTAGGGCTCATATATATATATATACTATATATTTTTTAACACACTGGCTGTCTCCCACCAAGGCAGGGTGACCTGAAAAAGAAACACTTTCACCAACATTTACACCATCACTGTCTTGCCAGCATGCGCAGATATGACAGTCTAGTTGTAACTCTAAACATCAAATATCCCAAACTCTTCGTTTACAGTGCAGGCATTGTACTTCTCATCTCCAGGGCTCAAATTCAGCTAACTGGGTTTCCCTGAATCCCTTCACAAAATGTTACCACCACCTCACACTCCAACAGCTCATCAAATCCCAAAAAAACATTTGTCTCCACTCACTCCTGTCTAACATGCTCACACATGCCTGCTGTGGTCCAAGCACGTTGCACAGAAAACCTCCCCTTTCCCACTTCCTCCATCCTTTCCTAGATGACCCCTACCTGCCTTCCCTCCACTACAGATTATACACCCTCCAAGTCATCCTATTTTGCTCAATCCTCTCTAAATGACCAAACCACCTCAACAACCCCTCCTACGGCCTTCTGGATAATATGCACTTTTAGTAACTCCACACCTCCTCCTAATCTCCAAACTATAAATTCTCTGCATAATATTTATACCACACATTGCCCTCAGACATGACATCTCCACTGCCTCCAGCCTCCTCCTCCTCCTCTCTGCTGAATTCACTATCCAAGCTTCACACCCATATAAGAATGTTGGTACCACTGTACTTTCATAAGATTTTCGTTCGGATTTTTTTTAACCCCGGAGGGCTAGCCACCCAGGATAACCCAAGAAAGTCAGTGCGTCATCGAGGACTGTCTAACTTATTTCCATTGGGGTCCTTAATCTTGTCCCCCAGGATGCGACCCACACCAGTCGACTAACACCCAGGTACCTATTTGCTGCTAGGTGAACAGGACAACAGGTGTAAGGAAACGTGTCGAAATGTTTCCACCCGCCGGGAATCGAACCTGGGCCCTCCGTGTGTGAAGCGGGAGCTTTAGCCACCAGGCCATGGATAATGTTCTTTGTTTCCTCAGATACCTCAATGTACCAACCACCTTTTTCCTTTCATACATACTTAAACTTCAAATTACAAAATCTTATCCTATAATTAAATGGAATTTCTCTGATTTGTGAAGAATATTCCCGAGTAGATGTCAAGATGTATTGCAATACCTTTATATCAATAATAGGTGGTACTTAAGTTATAGAAACATGACAGAAGTGTTGCCTCTACTCTGTGTCAAGCAACACTTGAGCCACCAAACTTTCTTTTCCTTCAATATTTTATGACTTGAGTAAACTTGGTGTTTTTCTGCAATTTATTTAAAATATGGCAATCCATACTACTACTGCATATTTTATTATTCTCTTGTAATACCTTAACTATCTCCCAGACCTTATGCTGACCTTTTTTTCTCTAATATCTTAAATATATATAATCTCTTTTAAAGTATTTCTTTTATCTTTGAAATATTGTACCTCTTCTAGATTTTAAAATCCTCTACAGTCCATATCTGGACTATCACCTTAGTTTTTACTGCTTCTTTCTAAATGTTTTGTTCCACTTCAAAGTTTTAGTTTGTTTGAAGTGACGACTCAACTTGGGACCAAAACAGTCAAACCCACTCCTCACTTTTTCTAATTGCTAACTTGTATTTTTACCTGATAATTGTGAATACATAATTTAAAGAATATAAAGGCAAAATACCATGACTGGAACAATACACAAATAACCTGTGTGACTAGTTAACAGTCCAAGTCTGACCAAAATGTTGTCATAAGCTTCATTCTCCTAGTTATTTGTACATAATTTAACTAAAAAGTTCAGTTTAGAATTTCTTACCTGGGCATAAGCCATTTTTGTAACCTTTTCCAGGTCATTTTGTGCACCAGTAGTCACTCGATTAAACACCAAAGATTCTGCAACACGCCCGCCTAATGCCATACACATCCTCTCAAATATCTATAATGAATGTAAATTTATAATTAATTGTAATCACTTAAGGTGTGATGTCTCCATGGTTGTTTAACATATTTATAGGTAGAGTTGTAAAATCAGTGAATGCTAGGGTTTTATGGACAGGTGTGGGATTAAAACACACAGTATTATAGTAGATTTTTCTTGATGGTGTGGTTGCGAAGGTTGATGGAGGAATTTGAGAGGCTATGCAAAAATTGAAATTAAAAGTGACAGGAAAAAGCAAGGTGATAATATTAAAAAAAAATCTAGGCAATGATAGAATGGATATCAGACTGGAAGAAGGGAATATAGAAGAAGTACATGTGTTCAGATATTTGGGAGTGGACCTGCCAGTAAATGGGTCTATGAAGATGAGGTGAACCACAGAAAAGATAGAGGAGTGGGTAATGTGATGAGGCCTTTGTAGAGGTAAAATAGGGAAATGTACCATATTACTGTATAGTGGTATGTAGGTTTTAAACACTGCAGCAAGGAAAAGGCTGGAAATGGTGTTTAATGCCAATGTGAATATTATGCAGAGAATTCAAGGCTTGAAGATTAGATGCAGGTAACTCAAAGCTTGGGGATTAGTAGGTCTGTGGGTTACCAAAAGTTTAATTTAGAAGGTTGAGAAGGGCTTGTTGAGATTTTGGAAGACACAAAATACAAACACAAAACATTTTATTGGAAACATTTCAGTCCTGGGACCTTAGTTGCTTCACAGTTGGAATGACCAGGTTCACAGGTCAAAATTTTTGAATAAAATGCCCTAATGTTTCCATTTTGTGTTTTTGTCCAACAACCTGTAGGGTATCACATACCATTTTTCCTAGCTGTTGAGATGGTTTTGACCATTCAGTGATGCTGAAGCAAAATAAAATGACTGGAGGGTATATAAATATGGGGTAAAGGGAAGAAGGGTTAGTTGCCCCAGGAAAGGCTGCAAGGCGGGCTAAAAGTTATTCTGAGTGTCAGGGAGGGTTGAAATCTAGCAAGCTTGTGTGAGCACATTAAGTTGGAGTGAGGCAAGTGGTTTTTATGATTTGACATTCTGTTGGAGTGTGAGCAGGTGACATTTATGAAAAGATTCTGGACACCATTTAGCAGGACTAGAGTCCTGGAGATGAAAAGTACAGTGCCTGCACTCTGAAGGAGTGAGGATACTGCAGCTCAGGTCATCTGAACTGTGATGTCAGCATACTTCTGGAAGACGAAGCAACTGAATGAATGACAGTGAATGTGTTTTATCTTTTATTATTTTTTTAGGGTCACCTTATCTTGGTAAAAGATGGCTAGAATGTTTGAAAAAAAGGGGAAAAAGATAGACAAAAATAAACCAGAATTAATTAAAATAAAACAACGTACTGTACTTATAAAGATTTATATGCAAACAGTGGGCACTCTCATTAAGAAGTGAGATAAAGACAGCCACAAAAAGGGACCAGATTATGGTCCCTTTTTGTGGCAGATCTTGAAGTAAACTGCTCAGTTTAGTGAAAGAACAGATTTGGTAAGGAGTTCAATTAATAACTAGTTAAAACTGTATTACAGTAAAGGCTTCCTAAATAATGGCAAAAAACATAAAAAAGTAATGTTAAACTAAAAAGCAAAGATTTAAATGGGAGGGGTGAGGATATTTGGTGTCTGGAAGAACATCTGAACTGTCGTATTTACATCCCTCTGGCAAGATAGTGATAGCGTGAATGATGGCGAATGGTGAAATTGCTTCTTTTTTCACCATCCATGCTTCACACCCATGTAAGACTGTTGGTACCACTATACTCTCGTACATTCCCTTCTTTGCCTCCATGAATAACATTATATATAGTTTTAAATAAAAAAAATTATCAATGTTTTAGCATACAGGTCTCTGGATTCCACATGATCAGATGATAAGCTTTATTTCATCCTACACATTCTGGGTGCTTTACTTGTTAGGACTGGTCTATAACATACAGTAATAAATTAGGACTTTATTCTTTCTTTGATTACTGTCAACAAGATTACTGAGGCAGTATTTCAATTATTATTAAACAAATGACTGTATAATTAACTCTTCTGTTTACCTCCTGCTGTGTGTAGAGCTTCTGATCCTTTGGTACATATTGAGCAAATCCTAGTGCCTGATTGGTTCTAGGAACAATGGTGACCTTAAGGAGGGCATCTGTGTGTTCAAGCAACCAGCCAAGCAGAGCATGACCAGACTCGTGGTAAGCAACAACTCTTCGCTCCTCTGGTGACAGTGCCTGAGGGATAATGTCAAACACTTAAAACTGCTATAAAGTGTGCTAAGAATGAGCACTCCATCAACAAGGCACAAGTTAAAAATATTAATATAATCAGACTAATCACTAAACCCAGGAGAATCATACAGCATAGCACAAGTTAGAAAGTAGAAATAAAGATACATGAAAAACAATGTAAAAATAAGGGGAAAAAACACCGAAAGGTTGATTTATAGTATTGCAGCGCATATTTTACTTAGATTTCTCTGACTTACACACATTAACAAATCTATTATAGAGCTGTACATAGATTTTCTATTTTATCTATTGTAATAAGTTCTGAATAGAAGCTTGCAGTTAAGATGCAGACAGCAGCAATAACTTTAAAAATACTGCCAACTCTATGCCTTATACTTAAACTTCAAAGATTTCACTGGTGAGAAAAGAAAGATAAATATAAGAGAGGAGTAATCTCCTCTCTTATATTTATCTTTCTTTTCTCACCAGTGAAATCTTTGAAGTTTAAGTATAAGGCATAGAGTTCTCCCATCTGTATCCTTTCTTTCTTTCAACGTAACAGCCGTATCCCACCGAGGTGGGGTGGCCCAAAAGGAAAAGCGAAAGTTTCTCCTTTCAAATTTAGTAATATACAGTGGACCCCCGCATACCGCACGCATCGCATACTGTACAATCCGCATACCGCTCGCTTTTTTCGCAAAAATTTTGCCTCGCATACCGCCCAAAAACCCGCTCACTGCCCTTCGTCCGAGATGCGTCCAATGTGCGGCCTGAGCCACGCTCACAAGTTCCGCCGGTGGCATTGTTTACCAGCCAGCCTCCTCGGTAACATCCAAGCATACAATCGGAACATTTCGTATTATTACAGTGTTTTTGGTGATTTTTTCTGGAAAATAAGTGACCATGGGCCCCAAGAAAGCTTCTAGTGCCAACCCTACAGCAATAAGGGTGAGAATTACTATAGAGATGAAGAAAAAGATCATTGATAAGTATGAAAGTGGAGTGCGTGTCTCCGAGCTGGCCAGGTTGTATAATAAACCCCAATCAACCATCGCTACTATTGGTGGTACAGCTGCTGCTGTACCACTGTCAGCTGCTGCTGCACTGTCAGCTGCTGCTGCTGTTGTACCACCGTCAGCTGCTGCTGCTGCTGTAGCATCGTCTGCTGCTGCTGTAGCATCGTCTGCTGCTGCTGTAGCACTGTCAGCTGCTGCTGCTGCTGTAGCATCGTCTGCTGCTGCTGTAGCATCGTCTGCTGCTGCTGTAGCATCGTCTGCTGCTGCTGTAGCATCGTCTGCTGCTGCTGTAGCATCGTCTGTTGCTGCTGTAGCATCGTCTGTTGCTGCTGTACCACCGTCAGCTGCTGCTGCTGCTGTAGCACCGTTGTTGGTGTGGCTTATTGAGAAATGCCAAGAAACAATTAACCCCAGAGGATTTGCCACCCAGGATAACCCAAAAAAGTCAGTGTCATCGAAGACTGTCTAACTTATTTCCATTGGGGTCCTTAATATTGTCTCCCAGGATGCAACCCACACCAGTCGACTAACACCCAGGTGAACAGGAAAAAATGCCTGGAACTAGTGCTCATATTGGTGAATTTAAAGCCAGCAAAGGTTGGTTTGAGAGATTTAAGAATCATAGTGGCATACACAGTGTGATAAGGCCTGTTCTGGAAGAAAATGCCAAACAGGACCTACAGTACTCAGGAGGAAAAGGCACTCCCAGGACACAGTGTCTCATCAGTCATTGCTGCATCTTCAATAAAGGTAAGTGTCATTTATTCTTCATTTAGTAGAGTAGTACATGCACAATATATATTGTGCATGTACTACTCTACTATTGTGCATGTATCCTTCTCTTTGTGTGTAGGAAAATGTATATTTCATGTGGTAAAATTTTTTTTTTCATACTTTTGGGTGTCTTGCACGGATTAATTTGATTTCCATTATTTCTTATGGGGAAAATTCATTCGCATACCGAACATTTCGCATAACAATCGGCCCTCTTGTACGGATTAAGGTCGCTATGCGGGGGTCCACTGTATACAGGACAAGAGGTTACTAGCCCCTTGCTCCTGACATTTTAGTCGCCTCTTATTAGGTATATCCTGCTATATCCATCCTGTTCTCTCCCAGAGCACTCATCCTCCCATTCTGTATTCTCCCAGACCACTCCCACACCCTGTATCACTAAGTGCTTTGCCTAGTAACAAACTCAAGTTTCATGAACAGGGAACTAGTGAACCAGTTAACCCTTAAACGGTCCAAACATCGACATTCAAATTCATAGTGCTACAAAAGTAGATCTACTTTTTTTTACATATTTTCAAATATAACAAAAAAAACAATGTAGATAAAAGTTTTTTACACGTTTTCAAATGTAAAACAAAAAAGAAGATCAACATTTTTTTACATACTTTCAGAAGTTGAAAAAACCTATATAGTATACGTTTGGACCGTTTAAGGGTTAAATTTGTACTTTTTTTTTCAACAAGTCGGCCATCTCCCACCGAGGCAGGGCGACCCAAAAAAAAAGAAAATCCCCAAAAAGAAAATACTTTCATCATCATTCAACACTTTCACCTCACTCATACATAATCACTGTCTTTGCAGAGGCACCCAGCTACAACAGTTTAGAAGCATACATAAAGATATATATAGTATTGTGAAGTCGTAATACCCCTCCAAACTGCCAATATCCCAAATCCCTCCTTTAAAGTGTAGGTATTGTACATTGTACTATTGTACTCTACAAAAAAACACACATGTCTGCTGTATGTCCAAGTACCTCACACAAAACCTTAACCTCCCCACTCTCTCCATCCTTTCCTAGGATGACCCCTACCACTCCTTACCTCCACTACAGATTTATACACCCTGCAAGTCTTCCCATTATTTCCATCCTCTCTAAATGACCAAACCGCCTCAAAAACAGGAGGAATGCAACTCATTTTTAAGTTGGGAACCTAAGTTAACCCTTTGACTGTTTACGCCGTATAAATACGTCTTACGCGCCACTGTTTCTGACATATATACATGTATACTCATAAATTCTAGCGGCTTCAAATCAAGCAGGAGAAACCTGGTAGGCCCACATGTGAGAGAATAGGTCTGTGTGGTCAGTATGCACCACATAAAAAAATCCTGCAGCACACAGTGCATAATGAGGAAAAAAAAAAAAACATTGACCATTTTTTTGGATTAAAACGCCGACTTTGAGGTATATTTTCGTATAGTATTTATCGGTGTACAGTATTCTCGTTTTCATGGTCTTAGGTGATAAAATGGAAAACATATTAAAGAAATGGAGATGGTTTTCATTACTTTCACGATGAAAACGATCTTGAAACTGAGCTCAAAGTAGCGGAAATGTTCGATTTTTACCAATGTTCAAGAGTAAGCAAATCACACCACACGTCCAATACACGTCAACTGGGGAGTCTAATATTCTTTTACTAGTGCACTGATATTATTTATGCCATTTTTAAAATAATGCAGTAGTCTGCATACCAGTAAATTTTGTATTTTTTTGTATGAATAAAAAATCAAAATAGAAAGCAATAGTAATATACGAGGGGCCTAGAGATGTGACTAATGAACAGAGGATATGTTATTTTAGTGCCAAGAATGTCTACCTTGTTTATTCTGGACCCTATTTTGAAATTGGCATCTTTTTTTATTTGCATGAAATTGGCCAAATTTCCAATTTCTGACCACTTTTTTGGGTAGTTCAAATCGGTAAATGGGCAGTTTCTTCTACTCAACTGATAGATAAAATGGAGTTCTAAAGAAATAGCTATGAGTTTGGTCAACTGGAACAACGGAACTGGCTAAAAACAGGGCTCAAAGTCGGCGAAATCGCCAATACATATACAGTGGACCCCCGCATAGCGACCTTAATCCGTGCAAGAGGGCTGGCTGTTATGCGAAATGTTCGCTATGCGAATGAATTTTCCCCATAAGAAATAATGGAAATAAAATTAATCCGTGCAAGACACCCAAAAGTATGAAAAAAAAAATTTTACCACATGAAATAGACATTTTCCTACACACAAAGAGAAGGATACATGCACAAAAGTAGAGTAGTACATGCACAATATATATTGTGCATGTACTACTCTACTAAATGAAGAATAAATGACACTTACCTTTATTGAAGATGCAGCAATGACTGATGAGACACTGTGTCCTGGGAGTGCCTTTTCCTCCTGAGTACTGTAGGTCCTGTTTGGTATTTTCTTCCAGAACAGGCCTTATCACACTGTGTATGTCACTACGATTCTTAAATCTCTCAAACCAACCTTTGCTGGCTCTAAATTCACCAATATGAGCACTAGTTCCAGGCATTTTCCCTGTTCACCTGGGTGTTAGTCGACTGATGTGGGTTGCATCCTGGGAGACAAGATTAAGGACCCCAATGGAAATAAGTTAGACAGTCTTCGATGACACTGACTTTTTTGGGTTATCCTGGGTGGCAAATCCTCTGGGGTTAATTGTTTCTTGGTATTCTCAATAAGCCACACCAACAACGGTGGTACAGCAGCAGCAGCAGCAGCAGACGATGCTACAGCAGCAGCAGCAGCAGCAGACGATGCTACAGCAGCAGCAGCAGACGATGCTACAGCAGCAGCAGCAGCAGCAGCAGACGATGCTACAGCAGCAGCAGCAGACGATGCTACAGCAGCAGCAGCAGCAGCAGCAGACGATGCTACAGCAGCAGCAGCAGACGATGCTACAGCAGCAACTGACGATGTTACAGCACCAGCAGACGATGCTACAGCAGCAGCAGCAGACGATGCTACAGCAGCAGCAGATGGTACTACAGCAGCAGCAGCAGCTGACGGTGGTACAGCAGCAGCAGCAGCTGTACCACCAATAGTAGCGATGGTTGATTGGGGTTTATTATACAACCTGGCCAGCTCGGAGACAAGCACTCCACTTTCATACTTATCAATGATCTTTTTCTTCATCTCAAAGTAATTCTCACCCTTATTGCTGTAGGGTTGGCACTAGAAGCTATCTTGGGCCCATGGTCACTTATTTTTCCCGAAAAAAATCACCAAAAACACCTGTAATAATACGGAAATGTTCCGATTGTATGCTTGGATGTTACCGCGGAGGCTGGCTGGTAAAACAATGCCACCGGCGGCACATGTGAGCGTGGCTCAGGCCGCACATTGGACGCGTCTCGGACGAAGGCCGCTGAGCGGGTTTTTGTCCACTATGCGGGGCAAAATTTTAGCGATCAAAGCGTCCGCTATGCGGATTGTCCGCTATGCAAGGCGTCCGTTATGCGGGGGTCCATGTACAGTGGACCCCCGCATAACGGACGCCTTGCATAACGGACAATCCGCATAGCGGACGCTTTGATCGCTAAAATTTTGCCCCGCATAGCGCCCAAAAACCCGCTCAGCGGCCTTCGTCCGAGACGCGTCCAATGTGCGGCCTGAGCCACGCTCACATGTTCCGCCGGTGGCATTGTTTACCAGCCAGCCTCCGCGGTAACATCCAAGCATACAATCGGAACATTTCGTATTATTACAGTGTTTTTGGTGATTTTTTCTGGAAAATAAGTGACCATGGGCCCCAAGAAAGCTTCTAGTGCCAACCCTACAGCAGTAAGGGTGAGAATTACTATGGAGATGAAGAAAAAGATCATTGATAAGTATGAAAGTGGAGTGCGTGTCTCCGAGCTGGCCAGGTTGTATAAAAAAACCCCAATCAACCATTGCTACTATTGGTGGTACAGCTGCTGCTGCTGCTGTACCACGTCAGCTGCTGCTGCACTGTCAGCTGCTGCTGCTGTACCACCGTCAGCTGCTGCTGCTGCTGTAGTACCATCTGCTGCTGCTGTAGCATCGTCTGCTGTGCTGTAGCATCGTCTTGCTGCTGCTGTAGCATCGTCTGCTGCTGCTGTAGCATCGTCTGCTGCTGCTGTAGCATCGTCTTTTGCTGCTGTAGCATCGTCTGTTGCTGCTGTACCACCGTCAGTGCTGCTGCTGCTGTAGCATCGTCTGCTGCTGCTGCTGCTGTAGCATCGTCTGCTGCTGCTGTAACATCGTCAGTTGCTGCTGTAGCATCGTCTGCTGCTGCTGTAGCATCGTCTGTTGCTGCTGTCAGCATCGTCTGTTGCTGCTGTACCACCGTCAGCTGCTGCTGCTGCTGTACCACCGTTGTTGGTGTGGCTTATTGAGAATACCAAGAAACAATTAACCCCAGAGGGTTAGCTACCCAGGATAACCCAAGAAAGTCAGTGTCATCGAAGACTGTCTAACTTATTTCCATTGGAGTCCTTAATCTTGTCTCCCAGGATGCAACCCACACCCGTTGACTAACACCCAGGTGAACAGGAAAATGCCTGGAACTAGTGCTCATATTGGTGAATTTAGAGCCAGCAAAGGTTGGTTTGAGAGATTTAAGAATCGTAGTGGCATACACAGTGTGATAAGGCCTGTTCTGGAAGAAAATACCAAACAGGACCTACAGTATCAGGGGGAAAAGGCACTCCCAGGACACAGTGTCTCATCAGTCATTGCTGCATCTTCAATAAAGGTAAGTGTCATTTATTCTTCATTTAGTAGAGTAGTACATGCACAATATATATTGAGCATGTACTACTCTATTATTGTGCATGTATCCTTCTCTTTGTGTGTAGGAAAATGTATATTTCATGTGGTAAAATTTTTTTTTCATACTTTTGGGTGTCTTGCACGGATTAATTTGATTTCCATTATTTCTTATGGGGAAAATTCATTCGCATACCGAACATTTCGCATAACAGCCAGCCCTCTTGCACGGATTAAGGTCGCTATGCGGGGGTCCACTGTATGTCGCCGAGTCCGCTAACTTCGCGGTAGTGTAATTCCGTGAGTTTTCGACCAAATTTCGAACTTTTGGTGTCATTACCATCGGGAAAAGATTCTCTATCGTTTCATAAGAAAATTTTTTTTTTTTTTTCAAAAATTTATCGACATAGAATGAGTTTCAGAAAGGGGCCTGCGACAGTCAAAGGGTTAAGATTGTTTGGAGTTTTAACCCAGAATGTTAGCTACCCAGGATAGCCTGGGGTAGGGAGTGTTTAGCCACCCAGGATAACCAGGGTAGGGAGTGTTAGCCACCCAAGATAACTTGGGGTAGTGAGTGTTAGCTACCCAAGATAACCCAAGAAAGTCAGTGCATCATCAAGGACTGTGTCTTATTTTCATTGGAGTCCTTCAATCTTGTTCCCTAGGATGTGACCCACACCAGTCAACTAACACCCAGGTACCTACTTACTGCTGGGTGAACAGAGACAGTATGTTTAAGGGAACATACCCAGTGTTTCCACCCATGCCGAGGATTGAACCACAGACACTCAGTGTGTGAGGTGAGTGCTCTGCCAATTGAGCCATGGGACACCACATCTACTGTACCTGGGTCTGTTAAAGTACAGCATCTCAAGTCCTCAAAGTTCCACTTACCATCTCTGTTCTGCAGACTTTTCCATTTCTGATTTTCTTCATTACAAACTTTCCAAAGCATATGATTACTGTGTTCCTGGTATTTTTGTCTTCTCTAGACATTTCATATTCATTAAACAGATTCTACATCTACAGCTCAATATAACAAATTTAGTAATAATTTTTTTCATGGGCTGTTGTTGATCTGAACATCTCTGGGCTTGGTGTACTATTATCTAATGATGCTACTATGGACACAAACCCTGTGAGGCCATTTAACAACAACAGCTGAAATATTATGCAGAGAATTCATAGTTTGGAGATTAGGAGGAGGTGTGGAGTTACAAAAATGTTATCCAGAGGGCTGAGGAGGGGTTATTGAGGTGGTTTGGTCATTTAGAGAGAATGTAGCAAAATAGGATGGCTTGGAGGGTGTGTATAAAATCTGTAGCAGAAGAAAGGCAGGGCAGGGGTCATCCTAGGAAAGGATGGAGGGAGGGGTAAAGGTTTTGTGTGCAGGCATGTGTAAGTGTGTTTGAAAGGAGTGGAGACAAATTGTTTTTGGGACCTGACGAGCTGTTGGAGTGTAAGCAGGGTAATATTTTGTGAAGGGACTCAAGGAAACCTATTAGCTGGATTTGAGTCTTGGAGGTGGGAAGTGCAGTACCTGCACTCTAGCTTGAGATATTTGCTGTTTGGTGGGACATCAAAACTGTTATATCCATGCATCTCTGGCAGACAGTGATAGTGTGAAGCTGATGAAAGTATTTTTTTTTTGGGTCACCCTGCCCTGGTGGGAGACAACCACTGTGTTAAAAAAAAAAAAGAAATTTGTACTCAAACATCAGGGATCTTACTTGTCATTTCTATGATCATGCTGTTCATGTGAGCAAACAGTATTACTGTAACTTTATGACCACAAAATTAACATGATGATGTGAACAGACAGAGGTTTAATACATTTTATATATATATAAGCATTAAGCCCATATGGGTCATATAGCACCTGAGAAATGGGAGGTAATCACCTTTGATCAGAGGAATACTAGTTGGCTCCAATGCCTCAAATTAAGAGCCCTTCACCTAATAAATAAGATGCCTAGTCCAGCCATATATGAGCCTACATGACATTTTTTTAAATAATGATAGTTACAAACTGTTTTTTGGACTCCTGCACCTAGAAAGTGAAAGTTCAGAAATGTTAATAAATAATCTATGATGACATAAAGGAAGGTACGCAGAACAGAAAAACTATGTCAAAATGAGATATCTCAGTAAAAGTTCCTGGGAAAATAAGATGTCAAAAATATAGATAATGACATGAAGAATGAAATTTACAATACCATGTCTGGAACAATTCACAACTACAACATAAGGATGATGAGTGTATCCCATAGCTTTGTGTGTGCCACAGCTCATTCCAGGTTCAGGTAACTATCAGGTCCCTATACTGAGCCTGCCTCAAGCCAAGGGACGTCAATACTCACTTACTGACTCACTCACTCACTCACTCACTCACTCACTCACTCACTCACTCACTCACACACACACACACACACACACACACACACACACACACACACACACACACACACACACAAACACACACTCACTCTCACTCACCCACTCACTCTCACTCACTCTCACTCACACTCACTCACTCTCACTCACTCTCACTCACTCTCACTCTCACTCACTCTCACTCGTTCTCACTCACTCTGTGTGTGTGTGTGTGTGTGTGTGTGTGTGTACTCACCTAATTGTACTCCCCTAATTGTGGTTGCAGGGGTCGAGACTCAGCTCCTGGCCCCGCCTCTTCACTGATCGCTACTAGGTCCTCTCCCTCTCTGCTTCCTGAGCTTTGTCATACCTTTTCTTAAAACTATGTATGGTTCCTGCCTCCACTACTTCAATTGCTAGGCTATTCCACTTCCTGACAACTCTATGACTGAAGAAATACTTCCTAACGTCCCTGTGACTTGTCTGAGTCTTCAGCTTCCAGTTGTGACCCCTTGTTTCTGTGTCCCCTCTCTGGAACATCCTATCTCTGTCCACCTTGTCTATTCCCCGCAGTATCTTGTATGTCGTTATCATGTCTCCCCTGACCCTTCTGTCCTCCAGTGTCGTCAGTCCGATTTCCCTCAACCTTTCCTCGTACGACATTCCCTTGGGCTCTGGGACTAGCCTTGTTGCAAACCTTTGTACTTTCTTTAACTTCTTGACGTGCTTGACCAGGTGTGGGTTCCAGACTGGTGCTGCATACTCCAGTATGGGCCTAACATACACAGTGTGCAGTGTCTGGAACGATTCCTTATTAAGGTATCGGAACGCTATTCACAGGTTTGCCAGGCGCCCGTATGCTGCAGCAGTTATTTGGTTGATGTGTGCCTTCGGTGACGTGCTCGGTGTTATGGTCACCCCAAGGTCTTTCTCCCAGAGTGAGGTCTGTAGTCTTTGTCCACCTAGCCTATACTCTGTCTGCGGTCTTCTTTGCCCCTCCCCAACCTTCATGACTTTGCATTTAGCAGGATTGAATTCGAGAAGCCAGTTTCTGGACCACATGTCCAGCCTGTCCAGGTCTCTTTGCAGTCCTGCCTCATCCTCATCCGATTTAATTCTTCTCATCAACTTCACTTCATCTGCGAATAGGGACACTTCAGAGTCTATTCCTTCCATCATGTCGTTCGCATATATCAAAAATAGCACTGGTCCTAGAACTGACCCCTGTGGGACCCCGCTCGTCACAGGCCCCACTGTGATACCTCTTCACGTACCATGACTCGTTGCTGCCTCCCTGTCAGGTATCCCTGATCCATTGCAGT